CTTCTTTATTGTTTTCAAATACTGAAGGTCACAATAGGGCTGAAGCTCTTCTGACTTGAATATAAGTTTTAACTTGCTCACTCAATTACTGAAGTGATTGTTCTGCTACTTGAGTTTAGATAAGACAAGAATCTTGAAGTTTAGCTTTTTCATATGTTTCTGTCTGAACAGAGTGATATTTACTTGGGATAATTATTCTGGTGTGAAAAGATTGTGTGTAAAATGCCTTCTTGTGAGTGGGATTTGGAATGGGATTGTGAGAAGACGAGCCAAATAATATGGCTGAAGCTTAAGGAAGATATGTTAGGGTAGGATTGAAGGAATACTTTTCTTGAATGTGCCTGTAAAGAAAGGGTATGGAAGACCGCTAATTGGGAAAGTACACAACAATGGAGCCCCTATTGACCACTTGTCGTTCGACAGATTGCCAATTTATCATGTACAGTCAGTCCAAATTTGATTATGGATGCAATGGTGGTACAGAGCACGTTGATGCTACAAGTCTCGTTGTATCAATACATCGGCAGACAGAAATAGCGAGCTGCCATTTAACCAATGCAGGCTGGGCAAGTTGCGGCACTATTTACCACATTGTTGGTTTACTTTACCATGCTAGTCTAATTGATTGCCTAAACACAAGCATAACGGGTCTGGTTACACACCAGACAATCTATCAGTAACTTGTAATTACCCATACATTGATTATATCAGGTGGGTATGGGAGAAGGGTGACGGATACATCAGGAATAACTCCATTCAGCACCTTGAGAAGATGTATATTTGTGTTTCAAACACTCAATCACAGATTTATGTATATTCAAGTTCATGTAATGAATGTACCAGTTCCAATCTGAAGTTCAGAGAAGATACTTGTTTTATGTTAGTTTTGAAAAACTTGAATGTTAACTGCTGATTAGTTTTAGTTGTGGTTAACAAATTAGATATCAGAAAAAATGTTTCTTAAAGGCAATAAGTGGAAGATATTGTTTTGAAAAATATAAAAAGCCTCCTCGTGAAGCATACGATGGTTTGAGTTGGGTGTCCATGCAACGGCATGCACATGGCTCGCTCGGTACTCAGTATATTAAGCTAATGCGTCTCAAGGCATGCGTGTGCTGCCAGCTCTTCTTGATACATTATGAAACAGCAGCAATGTTTTATTACTTAACCTGGTATGGCGCATGTAATTACTTGAACCTTGTGCTTGTATTGAACACGATGCTACTTACTAATTTTGTTATATTCAAATCCCTTAATAAAATTACACTGGGAAACTTTCTGAAGTTTTTTTTCTCTCTAGTCTGATCTCATCATGGCATTCATGAACTTCAAGAACTGGAGGCACTCATTGGAGTTTTACCTGTTTCCTACTGCACTGACAAATATGCTTTTGCTGAATTGATGAAATTATTTATGGGTGGTTGTAAAATACATTGCTAATTATGAAGGGGCATTATTGACACCTATTGTTTGAGAAATGAATGCATATTTATTAAAAAAACATATCATTCTTAGATTTAGGGATCCTTTAAAAAATGCTCATTAATGTTTTATATCTACTCTAAGACCAAAACTAAATGACACTGATAGTTTGCATCAAAAATATAAGAAGGTTGCTGTCTTCTCAGGGAACCAGGATTCCCTTCAAACTGTTCATCTTAATGAAAGGAGATCTAATCAAAGCACATTTATGTAATTAAACTAACATTGACTTTAACACCCATGAAGATCCAGGTTAGAATAGGTTTTCAGCAACCCATGCTTGCCGTAAAAGGCGACTATGCTTGTTGTAGGAGGCGACTGACAGGATCGGGTTTCAAGCTCGCTGACTTGATTGATGCATATCATCATATCCCAATTGCATAGATTGATGATCATGATGTCAATCACTGGATTGTCTGGTCCAGTTCAATTATTTACAGACTGCCCTCATGTAGCTGGTATGTTGCTGAGTACGCTGTTAACCAACCAACAAACAAACATTATTGTTCACACAACAAACAAACACTTGTGTACATTTTATCAGAAAATAGTATTATTTGTTTCCTTACCATTCACAAATGCTCGGATGGATATATATGTATTAATAGATGAACTATATAGTTGTTTGTTTTTAAGGCTGCACTCAACAATATTCTGCTTAATGGCAGTGGCCTGTAAGAAGCAAGCCTGGACCAGACAGTCCAGTGATTGACATCATGAGCATTGAACTAAAGATGTGTAACTGACAGTTAACATTTTTGTAAATTGTTAATATTATGTTATACCCCAACATGCCTGATCCCACATTGAGAAATTGCTGTAATACGGAGATCACACCGTCTCAAACCTTCTACGCAGGTGGCACAGTGATGTCAGGAGACACTGTTTGTAATCCTAACCTTACTAGGGTCATGGTTTTGAATCCTTGATTCATCCAAATTATTCTGTCAACACAATATCTGTGCATGTAGTTTCACCATTTTGTTGACAATGGGATCAGCAACATTAAGTTTGCATGTCATGATTTAACTGAAATATTGTTCAAAGCAACATTCAACCCAACTCAATACCATCATCTGTAACCACCATGTAGAAATGTACCTCCACTTGGTGGACCCACCCCAGAGACAGGCAATAGCTGATGCTCCTAGATAGTATTGGGTGATGGATAATATGATTATACAGTCCCGTCTCTTGCTGATAGGTAATGTAATTATATATTCTAGCCTGTAGTGCAGCCTGTAATCCAGTGAGTGATCACTTCATACGGTCGCACACAAGATATGTTCACTTATGCATTGTCAGCAGTGTTTGCTTCAGGAAAATGGCTGAACACAATTAGGTCTTTCAGATGAATTCTATTTTGTCAGTAAAAGTGCATTTGAGCACTAGCCTGGGGCCCCAGGCTAGTTTAGTTTTTGTCAGTCTGGTAAATTTAGAACACAAAAGTCTTTATGTTAATATGTAAAATCTTGTTTGAAAGGTGCCAAAGGCATGTTTGGGCTGGCGGAGTGAAAAGATTTGGGCACAGACTGTTTTGTTGGTAGGATAGGAGTCAAATGGGATTTGATGATTCTGAGTTAATCTGTCTGAGGTTTTTGTGACCTGGGCTCCGTTCCACAAAACAATCACAGCACTAAGGTTATCCCCATACTTTAACATAGGCTTACGATAGTCGTAGCACTAAGATCGCTTTTTGTGGAACAGGGCCTGAATCAATACACCAACACTTTACCTACTTCTGAAAATTTGTAAACCTCTGTAATAATGACAATGATGATGATCTGCACCATCATACCAAAAGTTGATCAAGATTGAAGCTGATTTGACACAGTATGGTTTCCTGAGTTAGAGAGTTATTTCCCTTAGCCGTGCCAAGATCAGTTATAAAATCAAGTTCAGGTTCTACCTTATTATGAGTGAGTAAGTGAGCATGGTTTCATGCCGTTTTTAGCAATATTCCAGCAATATCACGGCGGGGGACACCAGAAATGGGCTTCACACATTGTACCCATGTCCAGAATCAAACCCGGGTCTTCGGCGTGACGAGCGAACGCTTTAACCACTAGGCTACCTGACCCTACCTTATTATGAACCTTTGTCTTTTACCAATATGAATGTGTTTGTTGTTGTACACAAGTGGTAAACGTTTTCGACCTTCAAATTTTTTGGCTCACATCAAGCTGTCACACCTTGATATAACTGAAATAATGTAGCGCTAAACCAAATTCACTCACTAACGTACAATTGGGATTTTCATATTGATTATGGTGTTCTGAAGAGATGTTCTGTATCTGAAAATGCAAGAAGAATTGTGTGTATTGATTGCTGCAATGAGTGCTGCTTATGCAGTGCCAGCTGTTATAGGTCAATTATTGAAGCAAGGCCACTTTCCATTGAAAACAAGTTTCGCTGAAAGGGCGTATATGTCAGTTTGTGCCGTTGTGTAGGTCAGACAAAGTCACACACATATTTTATATCTGTATATGTTCAGTTTTCTTCCAATGTAATTTTTTTTTTTAGATTAATCTGAAATACATTCAATATCTGTTTTGTTGGATATATTCTCACATATTGTTTTGAAGGAGCTTGAATTAGTGACCCTAAAAAGAAAGAACATAAGCTGTTAAAACAAGCTACTTGTCAAGACATTATGCTTTACACTTCGCCATTTATAATGACTTTGAAATATTAATTCCTCGGCCATATTGTTGTGGAGAGCTTTGTTTTGAAGAGCACGCTTCAGTAGGCAAGCATTTCAAGATGATTGATTTGCCTACTCAGGAATAGTTAAATATTGACATTGCTGTCATAAGCATGTATATTTTCTTTAGGTTTTGTTCAAGGTCAGCCATAGGTCAAGGTCACTATTCACATTATTGTAAAACATGGTTGTATTATTGTCAGTTTATGAGATGCTATTGCCCATGTAGTCATGAGACTACACTTTAACTGGCATATTGAGTTAAGGGTCATTGTATATGTCATAAGGTGAAAATGCTTGTTTGAGTACTTTGCCATTCCCAACTTGCCATAACCAGTACTAGTTCCTTTAACATGCAATAAATTCACTTGCAAATGTGAGCAATCTATTATTTATATACTAAGGGATATAACTCGATGTTGTTAATGCAGAAATGTGTTAATGTGGACAATTTAGGTGATAATGGTGAACAAGCTCTCACATGCCTTTGGTTGTGAGTCAGAACTGGAAGACATTTTCTGTAAAGTACTTTGTTGGATAAGGAAGAGAATTTATGACTGTCAACTTCTTTATTATGAGGAACCCAGTGTTTCGGTGTATATGCTTACTCCTTGATCAGATGAATTTAACTGATGAAGGAGTAAGCATATACTCCGAAACGTTGTGTTCCTCATAATAAAGAAGTTGACATCCATAAATTCTTTTCTTTATGTGTATCACTTCTAAATGCCTTTTCAAAGACTTGATACTTTGTTAGATATTTGGTTCCATTGTCATTCAATTGGTGACATCTTGCATCTCTTTTTTTTCACAGTATTATGGACAAGATGACCAAAGATTGGCAAGGAACATCTCCAGGCACCCATTCCTCAACCAATCACATGGCTAGACCATCAGCAACACCAGTCAGAAGGCCAGCCAGTCAGCAACAACCAAGTGGGAGGCAAGCCAGTCAGCAACAACCAATCAGAAGGCCTATCAGTCAACAACAACCAATCACAGTTCAGGCATCAGCTCAACATCCAACCAGTGGGCAGTTCTCAAAGTTATGTGTTAAGATGGATAATAATAACCAGTAAGACGACTTATAACAGCCACAAAGGGGTTGCTGTGTACCAGTTATCAACCAAAGGAGGGTTTCCTGTGTCCCTATTAACCAATCAAAGGGGTTGCAGTGTCCCTGTTATCCAATCAGAGGAGATCTATGTCCCAACAACCAATCAGTGGGTTTCTGTGTCCCAACCAACCAATCAGTGGGTTTCTGTGTCCCAATCAACCAATCAGTGGGTTTCTGTGTCCCTGTCAACCAACCAGAGGGCTCCTCCCTCTGTATACAGAGGGTCGACTGCTAAACAATGAACAGTCAGATTTTATGCAATTTTCTCATTTTCTTTGACCAAGTCTCAGGGGGACAAGCTATATGCACAGGATATTATGATCCAAGGCCTGAAATGTTTTCAAGCCTTGGTTCCGCACTGGAAATTTTCACTGTTATACAGTTGTGGGGTGAAAATGTCTCTTCCAATTGGAATGGTTATGTGTGAAACAGGGCAGGATATATATATCTGAATAACACCTATGGAGTAGTGTGTGTTACGTATATACCCAAGGAGTGTGGATATGGTTCCGTATACAATGGGGCTATTTGCCTGCCCGTGGTGTGTGATGTGAAAACGGTCCTGCATTTATACCATACCATTCCCTGCAATCACCCGGATTGAAGCATAGCCAGTGGACAGACACAAGTACCTCTGGCTGAACAGAAAGACAAGCGGAAAGATTGACAGCGTGATCCTGGTGGTAATGTGATAATATACCTGTGTGAACTTCCAGTCTGGGTTATTCCCCAGTCTAGCTCTCCACTGTTTCATACAGGTGTCATGGCAACGTTTATTTCTAGGTTATATATCTTAAGGTTGGACACTAACGTGAGCCAAATTGTTCTGTAGCTCAATTCCCTTCATTGTTGGCCAATTGAGACTCTTGGTTTTGCTCTTTCCGATTCATGTGTATGTGTATACTGTGAAAACCGTTGTTATTGTTTTACATATTTTTACATATTAACAGTTTAATTACAGTTTATGAACCTCTTGATAAGTGCAGACACATAGACTAGTGAGTTTATTTCTTGACGGTGGTAATGTGTGTTACATTGAATCATTGGTCAGGAATATAGTATGTAGCGGAGCTAGTGGATGCATCATCATGTGTCCAACGTCCTCTGCCTCCCTAGGCACGACTCTATGCATTGTTATCTCACTCCTTCAGATCTCCTAGCTATACATATGTACATCATGTAGACAATGTTGTCTGACATCAGATACTGTGCAGGGTCGAATTAGAGCCATCTACTCTATGATATTTCTACAAGAATGCATGCTATACCTAGAACAGTCATAGCCAGTGGTGAGAGCTATCTGGCAGGTAGTAGTATGCAGCGATGCCAGTCAGGGGGGATAACTTCAGTCACCGCATGCGACACTCTTCACCTCACCAAGCTGTGTATATTGTCTTGTATTCAGCAGCTTGCGTTCCTATCACGCGTGTATACATATGAATTTGGTGATAGTGTCACCTCATTTCCTACCAGATCTGTACATATTTCTCCAATTTCAACATTCCAGCGTACTTATTTTCTAGCTGTATGTAGAGAGCCTGCAATGTGTCATACAAAAGAATAATTTGGCACATTTCCAAAATGGCTTTTGCTTAAAAATCTGTCGCCATTGGTAATCGTACCAGGAAACATCTAGTTAATGTAAACCAATTTGATTAAGAAATCCTGAAAGGAAGAAATTGTGCGCGACTGCAACCCTCTCAGAAATTCAGAGCACAGTTTGACCTGATTAAACTCTCTTCATGTCTTTTCCCTCATCCTTCAACCTCCCAGCAGAGGTAACTGTTCTACTTTCTTCGGTCAACATGAATGTGCATGTTAGTGACATTAGCTAATTTATGCAGTTTTCTTGCCCTCTTCCACCTGCACAAGACAGAGTTATCCCCCTTGGCTGATGTCTGTAGGTGGTGCTGTGTTCAGTGTTTCACAAGTCTTTAAGATGCTTGTGTAGACAGAAGTTTCTGTAGCCAGTACAACATAGCTGATCAGGAAAACGTTCCGATGTAGCCAGTCTGGAACAAGTTCTGGTGATGCGACCGTCTAACAGGGCCTGTAAGACCTGTCATCGTCCGCCTCCATGGGGTTATGCTTCATCACATTGTGGTTGCACTAAAGACCTGTGTGCTCAGCTCGCCGGCAACAAGTAGAATGTCACATGACCTTGTGTTCATGATGGGCCAGTAGTACCTATATTGGCCTCGGCGCTATCTCTCTGTTGGCGCTGTAATAGTTCAGGGACACTTCGAGGGATTCCAAGCCACAAGAACTGGATGACGCGTACATTGTTTTAGAAGTTATTTTCATCCTAAAGATATGATAAATCTTAACATCTTTAAGAGTATAAACATGCAAATCAGGTTAATGTGGGGAGGACACAGGTTGCACTGAAAGATTGAACATAGGGTTTATTGCTAATGATCAATACAGATCAAAATCACAATGATGCCTTTCAGCTTTCATAGTTAAGGTCAGTTAACCAGGTCAGTTTTGTAATGTAGCATCCACCTGTTGCCAACCATTTTAAGATACAGGTGACAAACTTTGGAAGGGGTCAATGGTGAATTACAAATTCGATATTTTTATCAGGTTAATAATAATGTTATTAATTTCCTATTGATTAAAAGGCTACATGCTTTATTATCATCAAACCCACACTTTAAAAATGGAAAAAAATATGCCACCAATAATATGTTGTGTTAGCAATATTTACGCCTGGATCATCTGTAATGTAAGAAAATACGTTTTTCTGATCTCACAATAATTATATATGATCGTAGACACATACAGGCTTATATGCATCTGTAGAGAACATGATAGTTGGTTTTCACAATGTGTCAGTACATGTATTTATGAATCGTAAAAAGAACCTACAAAAATATAAGAGAAAATGTAAAAGATAATTTTCATTCTATTTCCAACACCGTTCCTTCTTCAGGTACATCCATCCATTTTTGTTGTTTTGTGGATCCCTCTTATCCCTGTACCAATCTCATTAAGATCAGATCTTAATGCTCGCTGCTGCTACATCAAACATCAGAGGCCATCCCATTACAGGTCATGTCAGAACGACTTTTTGTAAAGTTTGACCGACCAATGAAATGACTATGAGGAAGTCAACATTAGCCAATCAGAAAGCAGCTTTCTTAAGCTTTTTGGCAATGGTTTCAAAAGGCGACCATTCCAGACTACATTTATGAAAATATTTCGAAAATATTCTCTTTTCAAAATTGAAAACCAAACAAAAGAAAATTTTGGAATGTCAAGTTGATGACCGAGATTCTAAGACAGTACTTCCATTTCGAATGTTTATCCCATTGAAGCAAGAGATAGACGATGTTTAGCATTCAGAATTAGTCATACAGCCGGTAACTGTTGTTTGGAAAGCCCTGTGTTAACCTTTTCAAGGCTGCTTGTTTAGAAAACACTTTCAGACTTCCACTTTCGCTATCTCGTAAGCTACGCATGGATTGGTCGGATGAAAGTTCATTCTGACGTGACCTGTAATGGGATGTCCTCGGATGCTTGTGTAGCAGTAGGGAGCACTAGGATCAGATTTGAATGAGGTTGTCCCTATACTGGACTATTCAGGCGACAGATGAGGATTTAGCTCTGTCAGAGGTTGTTTGTGTATCTTATTTTTCCACTGTTTACAAGGACTGAGTGATGAATTGTTACGTTGAGACTCACTTAGCATTGCTTGAAGAATGACGGTGTAATATCTTCATGTTCCCATGTAGTATGTATGTACAAGTTAAGTTTCCACAAATTTATCTGGAGATATAGTAGCAGATGTTCTCTGCATGATGTGACTGTTAATAGATGAAAGGGAGATTTCACTTAGGCTTGTTTCATTTCACATAGAAAATGCTCAGAGAATACTCTTTAGGGACCTTTGAAATTTTTATATCAGAGTGTTGATTTAACTGAGATAAGATTTCCTTTTGTCTATTCGAATATTATCAAATATATTTTAATTTATTCCTTTATCTTATTTCTGACCATAATGCATCAAACTTTTAAATTGATTTAAGAGTTTAGATTTAGTTTTGTTGGATTTCCTGTCAAGTCAAACATTGTCTTAATTAATTATTATTTCTTCCTTTATCTTATTTAATATTTCTGACCATAATGCATCAAACATTTAAATATTGATTTAAGAGTTCAGATTTACCTGTGTTAGATTTCTTGATATCAAGTCAAGCATTGTCTGAAGTAACTGTAGTTTCTTTTTTACCCTAAGTCTTAATTCTGGCCAGAGTGCGTCAGTTTCAGTACGTTGTCCGCATTCTTGTTGTTTCGGAATGAATTTGGAATAGAATGACAGGACTCAGTTAGGAAGTATTGTTTATGAAGACAATGTCTCTGAGCATTTTTGTTATTTCTTTTCTAATAGATGCACAGTGTGCCTCTGCTCCTTCTCCGACACTTCCTGTGTTAGGGCAATGTTTTGTCCATATTTTGCAGAGCCTTTACTTTTCAAGATATATTGTTAATTATCCTTACGCATTCAAAGTTGGGGCTTTTTAGAAGTTCTCAGTCATTTCTGAACAAAAACACCACATGGACTTAGCTTGTACAGAAGTCAGGCCACTGGTTATTTGTGGCACGTCATGAAATAGGAACCTGTTTCTGTTCCTAAATGATTAGAGAGTTTTTGAGATGACCGCTATTCTGCCTTGAGTCTGAGATGTGTGATACGTGCCTATATTCTGCTACTTATGTAGGAGACATTTTGTGTTCTTTGTACGAGCATCAGTCACAGTCTCGAATTGAACAACCTCTCGTTTTGGGAGTTCTCTTCCCCTGTGTTCATGTAGATTGGTATCCTGGGTAACGAAACTAGGAATATGCCAGTGGTGTCCACCAATTTGTAATTGCATTCCTGTAAATAGTGAACAGAGATGATTAAACCATGAAAATATCAACTCAAAGAACATGACTGCCTTGTCGTGGGAATAGAAAACAGTTTGTCGTCGTTAAGCCTGATAGTCTCTATTGTTCCTCTATGAATATTAGTTACTTCTTTACCCATATGTAGTAATATATTTGGATAAACAAGTAAACAAATGCTAACGAATGTAACAATACCAATCTTCCATGTGAAGGTGATGTCGTGGTTTACATGTTAATAAGGTTCCCTTGAACTAGACACAAGACAAGAGGTTGTTCAACATTGGAGGTAATAGTGATAGAACTCTCTGATATACATAGTCTATCAAGTGACACTTTGTAGGGGTTTTCTATTTTTTTAGTGTGTTGATCAATGTTTCTGTCCTAAAGTTGTTATCAGCCAATACTAGTACAGGAAAATGGTGGCACCAGAAAACAATAGTGCCATAACTCAGGTCTGTTTCTCTCAACATATAGCAATCTTACACCATCCCAGTTTAGCCTAGTGGAGGAGGTGTCCATGCATGGAGGACCAGGTTTGATTGCTCCAAATATCTCATTTGTTCCAAGTAATAAGGTATTATCGTTATAAAAATATTATTAAAGCCCTCACCGTTTGATTCTGTATGAAATGTTCAATGAGAGTTTAAATGTAATTGGATCGAAATAATTGTACAAGTTTGTAATTAAATGTTTCAGATTTTATGATTGAAACATTATTCTGATATTATTTCTTGTTAAGATTAGTTATATGTTTTTCCCCAAATAGTTTCCTTAAAGTAATTTCTTGTTAGACTGGCATGGTCTCAAAACTTATGTTTTGGAAGGAAAGGCTACTGTTGTTTTGAAACAGACTTGATTGTTTTTTCTGTACTTGTATTGCAATACCCTCAGTGGGAAAGTTGTTAAATTTGTTCCGAAACTAATTTGGGTTGTTTATTGAGATATATAATATGTATATTATGTTTTATCTTCCTCCCATGAGATACGAGTGTATTCCACTCTCCCCATCTACCAGTCTGTGATGACTCCCTGCTCCCCCAGGATATGAGTGAACTAGTCCAGAGATACAACTTCTCTTCCCTGTAGTAAAGTGGCCTAGTCCCACTTTGATGTCTTGTTAAGCCACACTTTACAGACTGTTAATGAGTTATTGATTTCCGCAGCTATGACAATATACTGACAAATGTTTCGATCATGTTAGTAAACATTCATAGCAGTAGAATAAGTTAAGCAAGGCACTTGCCAGGAATAAATTTGTGCTAGCACTACAAAGTATTAATTAAACATTATTGTATGTATATATTAATATAATGAATCCTTATATCCTATTATGAAGTAACAAAATTACTTTACTTATCAACAAGATTGTTGACCTTGTTCACGGTTAGTTTGAGTTAGAAACCTGTATCTTGTCCCCCGTGTGCGATGACACTTTCCACAACACTGTTTGAGAATGATTTATTACTTATTTCCATATATCATTTTCTTGGATTTGATCTTTTCAATGTGCCATACAAAATGGACATGTCTGACAAAATAATGTGGTATGTATGTTATTGAAGATGGATGATATATGTTTTGTAAATATCACGATACGTAAACCTCGATAGGTTGAGAATGTTGAAATTTTAAGGTTGTGTTCTTTTCTGACAAGTTCAGCATATGAAAGAATTAATACGGGAAACATACAGTTCATAATATATACTCAAAAGAAGTTACAGAACTACTGATTGTTTTCATGAGAGATTAACTATAGTAATATGGAAAAATCAGGTGTTCTTTAACTTCTTTTGAGTGGTATACACTTTCAACATGTGCCAAAAATTTGCCTGCTGGTCTGAGCTTGTCTTCATCATCAGCAATCTGTGGATTTTATTCCTAACATAAGGGTTGTGGTGAGAGATGCTTACTGAACCTCAAGAACGTTTACTCCGGTTTTATGAGGATGTACAGACACAACATGATTCACAATATGGAATATCTTTTAATGTTACCTAAAATACCTTGAAATGAGCTGCCTGTGGAAACATTAAATAATGATATGGCATTGCTGTGGAAGTATTATTACTAACCTTTAACAATAAAATGGCATTGCTGTGGAAACGTTAATATTGAAATGGCTTTACTGTGGAAACACATACCGAAATGGTTTTGCTATCAAATATTGTAAAAGCTTAGTAATATATTATATTAGGGATATCTTATATAACAATAAGGCGCTACCGTGGGATCCGTAAGGTTAGATAATGAAATAGCTTTTCTTTAAATTCCCCAGAAATGTGGCATTTTGTTATTAAAAAGTTAAACACTGAAAAGATCAAATCCTTATCTTGATATTCACTCAGAACTTTGCTCAGAATTGACAAATATTCAGTGTCAGTAGAATCTGTAATGGCATTATGCTTTGCAAATCTCATGTTATTTGCCATGTAAATATGATATTATTCTTTACTTTTACAGTTTGTTTTGTTACCATGGCAAACATTGCACAATTTGTATCAAGATGTATTTCAAAACTAATCAAGATTTTGTTATGCTCAATTTTGGAGATGAATTTATCACCTAGCCATTGTCTTACAGCCTACAGAAAAATCCTACCAACAGTATCATGAACTTAAACGTGAAGAAAAAAAGTTCCATGCAGATTCCATTGAATTTTACATGAATTGGTCATAGTTTTTTTATCAATGGAAAATGCATTGTTGATTTTCAATAAGATTCAGATATGTTGAGTCTGTTCCAAAAAAGCTTCACAATTTTAATGCTTTGCCGCTTTTGCGATTTGTGCAATGTTTGGTTATGATTTCAGAACATTATCTTGTAAGAATAAGTACATCTGTAGAAATGTGTGTAAAGTTGATATTTGCTACAAAAAGACACTCCTTTACGGCTGTGATGATGTAGGCAGCTTTTACCGTTGCCATAGCAACCCCTCCACTCAACCAATCAGTGTAATTGATGATTATTTTAGTAGCACCATGTTTTAGCTCGAATGTTTGACTAGTCACTAACATCCAGAATTCCTTAATCTGTGATATGCCACTAACAAGATAGAGAAGGACAAACTCTTTTTAGTTTGTGTTAGTGTTGGAACTCTGTCTCTGTTATTATGCACACTTTGCAGTGTATTTCTTTGTGTGTATGTCTCATTGATCATGATGATGATGATGATGATGATGCTTTCTAGTTATCGCTCCTTGTATCAATTAAATATTAAGCTCAGCCAAAATGTATGAATGTAGTACTTAAGAGTACACTAAATACATGATTTTCAGACATCTGATAAAGATGATTGGTATTGATGCTAAACAGGCATTGTATGCTTTATCTTCTAAAGAAATTATCATACAAATAGTCTGTTTCCATTTCAAAATCTTAGTTTCTAGATTCAGAATGTCTGTTCAATGCAAACAATGAGGGCCTTGTAAGTATAAATGATTTAGACGGATACAAGTATGATCTATTTATTTCTCATATTTCGCTTGCCTGGTTTGTGTCAAGGCAAGCTGCATTAACTTGAGCTATATCATTGTTTTTATGGCATAAGGCTAGCCATATCTTTTTTGTGAAGGGATAATGCTGGCTTTATAATTCTTATCAAGGGATTAAGGGCAACGGAAATTTTAAAACCTCAGTGTGAGTGTGATGGCAAGCAGTAAATATATTGATTATTTTGGGTTGGCTTATTCTCTAGACACAAGAAGTGATATTCCTTCCAGGCAAACCCAGCAAAGGGGTGCTGTCATGACCTTTCTGTAGGTTACCTTGCAATTATAGCTCCAGAAACTATACAGTAATGGGGAAGGGCAGCTTCATTAGTATAGCCATTTTATTTCTGCAGACAGTGGTTAAGTTGACAGAAAGAAAGCTTTAGATGGTAAGCGAGGAATATTTGTTGAGAACATCAAAGATGTAAGCGCGTGCGAGCTCTGATTATCGGAAAGTTATGAAATAGGGAAACTAATGGAATGTGCATATGTGAGTCAATTAGGAGTCTGTACGTGCCTTCCATGTGCAAGAGTCATGAATAAAGGGAGGTAACCCAGAGGATTTACAGGTCTCCCTCTAGACTGTCATTAGTCAGGGTTGCCATGGCAACCCAGAGGCCTGATTAGAAAGTGACCAGTTTGGCAGAAAGTTCTGCAGGAAAATTGTTCTGCTGTTATGGTGCATCCAAATGAGATGGCACAGTCATAATTTTGTTTTCATTTTGTATGAGATGGCAGTTCAGTACAACAAGAACAACACTGTTTAGGTTGCAAAAGTTCCATCTCCTACACCAATAAGTAATGGCAGTCAGTATCTGTAGGATGCACCTTCCCCAGCTCCCTGTAAACCGTATTGATCCGGGTCAGAATTGGTCTTCAGCAAACCATGCCTGTCATAAGTTTCAACTGATATGATCGGGTAGTCAGACTCGCTTACTTGGTTCATCCATGTCATTGTATCCAAATTTTGTAGATCAATGCTCATGATGCTAATCACTGGAGTGTCTGGTCCAGCCGCGATTATTTACAAACCTACTATTTTGAGTTGAGCTGTCTGGGTACTCCTGCATACATCTTGGCTGAGCTTTAAGCAAATACTTACACAACACATATCAGAAAGATTCCATCCCATGCTGAGAAAAGATGGAGAAGATAACCACGTCTTAATGAGACTATTTATGAATCTCGTTTGACTTTGACTAATATTACTTATATTTATCCACATTTTCACTGAATATTTATAACTCTTTATAATGCAAACAATCACATGTTCATGACCATAGGAGTATTACCATTTTACTTGTATACTGATTTGTTGTGGAGTCTTTATACTCCTGTTATTCCCCATATTTTAGCTTGTAGCTCTTTTTCTGTTTCATACCATTTTTCTGGTTTGTTCCTAGTTTTAGACATGTGAATCTCCCAAATTGTAATGAGACTAGATTTAAGCACTTAAGGTTTTAGTCCATTGTTATTGGTCAGTACAGGTGACTGTTAGCCAATCAGGATAGCCTTTAGTGCCAGTGGAGCTAGTTCTCAGTACTGAAGGTTTTAGTCTAATGTTATTGGTCATCTTGGTCATACATCAACCAATCATGGCATTGCTTAAGAAATATCTAAAAGCACCAAAATTGTTTAAAGTTATTCAACATGAAATTCTGACATTAAACATCAAGTTGTTGAGATATATGTCAAATTTTCCTCTTTTTATATCAAATTATGGATTGACTAGAGCCATGTTCTGATTGGTTGGTTGTGACCCGGAGTGACAACTTGTTGTGTGGGACGTGTTCCATCAGGTGTGGGTGTGGTTGGCACAGACACACACACATCGCCAGGGTAACAGTGTAACCAGTTATTATGTGTGAATAGGGTGCCAGATTATGAAAACTAGTGCATTTATATTGCTGATATATACCCTGACAATGTGATTCTGTATCTGTTGCCATCTGGGGCATATTGGCTCCCTGTTGTGTTCTGATGAGTGAATGAATGAAGTTATGTGAGATTGTTAAAGTGAGTCTTGTACATACCCAGGCGTTATAGTTGAATCTACCACTGATGGCTGTGGCCATGTTGGATAGCTGTCAAACTCATCATAAGTACTGGCAGTTAGGTCATGGCAACATCCAGTTGTCCAATGAAATCCTTTCTTTGTGAGATCTTCTGTACATTTACTTGCCACGCATAATTTTCACCGGTTACCTCATAGTGGAATAGACCTAGAAAACCAATTTTGAAGTTTTCTCGGAGGAATGAATGTCTTTTCTCTCTTACTCTATACTTTACCTTCCTCCTGTGAGAGGTGTTTACGACTTAATGTCAATAAACCATCGGCGGGATTGAGCTCCCACACTCGCGATCTCTTGTTCTCATCCTGGGGCTTCACCAGCATTGACAGGTTCATCTGTAAACTGTTTGCCTCACTCTACGGCTGCAATACTGCCAATGTGACAAAGTTTCAACTCTCACAAACAACAGGTGGTCTACAATACAGAACATGACCAATTAGATGCTTTTTAATTAAAAGAACCAGCTTAGGATTTGAGCTTTTCTACAGAATATTTTATTAACGATTCCTTTGATGGCATTTATCCAAATAAATGCAATACATTAGTATGCTTTTGAAATCAATCGGGGAAACTGAAATTAAAGTCTGTTTTTATTAAGGAATGGCATTGTATTTTTCAAATTAGATATCTATTTCAACATTTGGAGGGCAGTGGGTCATGTTTGTGATATTTGTCTGAATTACTTAATAATGCATCTAATAGGCCATGTGTGGTGGTTACAAATAAAACATTTGATAAAACTGTTGCAATAAAACTGAACTCACAAAGAACAAGAATTGAATATATGGGCAAAATGGTGTTCATCAGATATAGCTATGCTTCCAGAAATCCATTATCGTGGATGGAATGGAGACACCATAATATTATGAAAATACCGTTCAAAGCAGTGTTAATCTCCTTTCACACACACACACATGCACACTGAGACACAGGACTTTGTGTTTTGTGTTGCCGTTAACACTGGTAAAATTGTTAATCATCATGAAGATAACCTTGTTGGCACAATTAGTCATGAATATGGATACTACAGTGTTAGTAGATTTCAAAGCATCAACTTTCAGCATTTTTCTGATGATACATTTTATATCCCCACTGTGGAGGACACTCACACTTTCAAACACTGGTTTATCTGCCCTTGGACATTCACTCACCACCAAGATATGGCTGTAATATGATATTGCAAATTGATAACCTAGCATAAACACACTAATATGTACAGGCTTGGATAAGATATCCAATGCATGCTTATGATTTAGTTGGAATCATACAATGGACTCTTGTTTTTGGCAAAGATTTCTTTAGAGTCTAGAAAGGGTTTTGTCGCTTTTATTGAAGTATCTGAACCGGACAGCCAACACGAATGAATTAAAGAATTGTAGCATGGTTGTTTTTCGTGAATGATGAATGTCATGAAGCAATAACCTGTAGATTGATCACCAAATTCCTTTCAGTGGCTGACTACCTTATTGTAAATATGGACTGCCTCCATTGTCCATGGATGGAGCATCTGCCCGGAGAGCAGAAGGTTGGAGATTTGATCCTGGCATCATACAAAAGACCTTGAGAGATGGTACTTGTTTTTTTCCCTGCCTGGTGTTCAGGATTAAGGGGATAAGACTGTTGACTCGGACCAAGGATACTGTTTCAGAGTGGAGTATCCATGTTAACCAATGGCATGGAATCTCAGTGGGCTAGCATATGTCCGCACTAGTACAGGCAGCCACACACTCACACACATCAATTATCAACACATTAAACACTATTTCACCTCACTTCTCATAAATATCTTGGCTGTTAACAAATGCCATCACTTTTGGGAAAAACGAGGAAGGCCCATTTTCACAAAGTGATCTTTACCTTGGTGTTTTGAAAGTCTATTATGTATGGGAGTTTATCGAAGGGCTGAAATCACTTTGTTGAACGGACCCTGGTATTCTACACCCACCACTGTAAGCATATTTATCAATCATTTCCACTTAAATTCCTTTCATATGTTATGAACTACTTCTCATGCAAACAAGAAACCATCAGGTGTCTGATGTTTCTTTCAGCTGATTTTGTTGAGTGGTTTGGCAGAACTAAGCAAAATAGGGTATACATTTGTTTTGTACACGAGTTGTATTCACCATGAACACAGGTCATAAACAATAGGACTGTAGGCACAAACATGAGCGGTGGATGTAATACAACTTGGAGACTATGTTGACAAGAGATGGTTTGAAGGAAACGATCAATGTAATTGCCGTAGCATATGTAAAGAAAGAGATCGACGGGTAGGCTGTGTAGGACAAACTTGCGGCAAATAATCTGGAACTGGATCCAATAGCTCAGACCACCAAGCAGCCAACAGCCATTTAATGGCGTTCATCTATTCCAGGCCTGAAATTAGACAAGACGCTACAGTGGCCACAAGATTGAGGCAATATCGATTGGAACACGCACCAAGACGTACACACGTGGTGGCGAGATTGATGAACGTGACACGACTCGTGGAACAATGGTCACCACGGGCACCTGCTGAGGCCGGCTCTGATTTCCACTTTGTTAGCGGACCTGTGGATACTACCAGGACAGGGTCCTCAACTATCTATTTGCATTGACTTGCCACTGATAAGTTGTATTTAGCTGGAAATATCAGGCATGTCAACCATCATCAACTTGCTGCCCTGACAGACGGATTAATGATGGTATGTCATTATGTACCTTGTCATTGACTTCGCCTGTGATTCATTATTTATTATCCTCTCAAAACCTGAATACGACATTCGATCCGTTTATTTCCCTGAAGAGCTTTCATGATATATTATATATTGACGACTGTTAAAATATTAACTGGAACTAATGTCCATATTGAAATTTACCCGTGTATAATGACGAGCGGATATATCCATCCATGATAGTGCGTCAAATTGGAAAATGTCAAATTACACTGAGAAAATAAAATCTCGTTATACGTGAAGATCCCATTTACAAAGTTCCAATTTTAACGATTTTCCGAGTCCGCATTATTGTATTAAGATTTGGTTTTGACTCCATGTTTAACATCACCCGAAAACTGTTTAGGATCATTGACCGCGCGTGTGTGTGTGTGTGGAACATGCATCTATACACCAGATATAGGATATCAACCAGAGCACCACTGCATTCTTTATACGGAGGAATAAAGGACATCTTGCGCGCTTGGCAAGAAGAGAAGTCATTTGGGTGGAATTTGGGATGAAACTGTTCTGACTAGATCACGTGGATGCATAACTTCAATACAACGAGCGACGTTCGATGCGAATTCACTTCGTTGAATGATAACGGTGTTGGACTCGACATGGATATATCCCTACAAGTGTAATAATGAATTTAATTATCCGCACTTATTATTTAAGAGGAAATGTTCATACATTTCTTGACTTTATAAGTAAGCTCTCATCTGTGATAACGTCGATTGAGTCCATGTAGGGATGTTAATTACTCTAATGAAGAATGCATCTTCCGGAGGGTGGTCTGTATTTAATTATTCCCCTCTGCCCCCGCCCACTTCGGAAGAACAGACATTGAATCCCCGAGGTACTGCAAAAGGTCGGCGTAAGTTGGAAAAATATGCACAAGAGAAATACAACTACCAAATCGACGTGAAAGGGTACAAATAAAACCCAATTCAATTACTGGAGTGCCGCCTCGTCTCCACTCCCAGCGATCAATTACCTGATGAAATCACTTGTCATTTTGTATTTAACAAGCGTGATTGACTGCCAGACTATTGTAGCGTGACCATGTTCAGTGAAGTGTGTCGTATCGATCTGCCACAAGCCTGGGCATGTGTCGCTTGTTCATCTATTTGTATTGGCCTTAACGCCCACGTGGAGCAGGTGCGCCGCCCAGCTGCACGCGGGAGCAGGTGTCGGGAGATGCTGAGATATACAGCATAACCATGCATCGCCTGACGGCCTCCTCTGCCCGAAGCTACTCTCGTCAACGGTGGAGCTGCAACTAACTTACAACAGCATCCGTGATAACCAGAGGTGGTGAACAGGTGTGACCTGGCAAATGAGGCTACTACATCACACTGCAAAATGTTACATCCACTTTCTTCCAGCGCTTATCCTGACACATCTGTACCCCACTGACAAATCCTGACAAAATAATTCCGTACTGCTGTATTCGGTCTGAATGTGCGCGTTCAAATATTTTCCACTGTGGTTGAATTGCACCCAAATAACTCCAGTAGGTGCTACATGTGTAAATGTTTCATGAGACGCTCAGACCACTTTCATCTGATTACATGTGACAAAAATGAAACTAAAATGCTCGAGAACAGATTGAAACTTTTTTCACCAGCACTCATAGTAAAATCACCCAAAATATACGACTGAGACATACTCTGTAGAACTGTTCCAAAAGTTCCAAATATACTTGGGCCCGTCCAAACACACAAGACCGTATGAAGTGTCTCGACCCTTTGTAAAAAAATCAACATTAATACAAAGGAGCGGATAGAGTGATTCGCATTAAAGAAACAAAACAAGGATAGCATTGGGATAGCACTATAAAACGGACGAAAGTCTAGAAACACACACACTTACATGCAGATCTCTACGAGGCCTGGACCTAACGAACAGTTTGCATGCACTTACTACAAAATTGTCCATGCTTACAGTGCATTTCAGTGAGTGAGTGAGTTTGGGTTTAACGCCGCTTTTAACAGTATTCCAGTTATAGCGCGGCGTGTTAGCTTAATGTGGGAGGAAAGCCCGAAGTGATGCAGGTCTCAGACGTTTACCACTTCTGTGAAAGACCCGTACACAACCAGGAGGTGGCCTAGTCCTGCAGGCATCTCTGTTTCTGTAAATGAAACGTTACCCCGCTATCAAGTATCTCCCAATTGAAAGGGCCCATTCCAACAGCCATTCGGATATGATGTGAAAACGTTATAAGGTGATGATGCTCGTTCCTTTGTCATTGTAAAGAGGACGGCAGTGGAGTTCAAGAAGGCAAGTGAGACTCGAAGGTGATCCGAGATCAGGAAGACCTTCAAGTGCCACCTCTAAGGAAAATTGTCATAAGACAGGTGAGGTGAGGTGAAATTGGGTTTAACGTCGCGTCCAAGATTATTGCGCTTATATAGCGACGTGCATGCGTGTGTGTGTGTGTGTGTGGCTGCTTGTACTAGCCCGGACTGATGCCGATTTATAGTGCTAGCTCACTGAGATACCATGCCGCAGTTTAACATGAATACCCCACTCAGAGACAGTATACTGACGACTCCGAGCCGACCAGTCCTTGTTTTAGCCCCTTAA